AAAATATGCTTAAATCTCTCTGAGGATACCAAGTAGAATTTTTTTTTTTTTAAGTTGTCTTCCCTATATTATCTCAGTTTCTTCTGGGGTCAGTTGTTCTGCTGTTCATTTTGTTTCTCCTCTTTTATGCTTCCTTCCCCCAATCCAATTCCCAATATTTGATGATCCTTGATTATCTTTGCATATTTGTGCTTTTTGTATGTGTGTGCAGAAAACTTTTTTTAATACTTGTTGATGCCCTTTCTCTGTATATTTTAAATAGTGTCTATTTCCTCTACTTTTGCTTCTCTTGTCACATTTTCCTATCTACTATTGATCTTCTAGGAATTGTTCTAAATTTTTGATTTGCTGATTTTCTTATTTTTCTGAGCTATCATAAATTTATTCATATATAGTTTTTATTTAACTCTTTTCCATCCCTTTGGCACTCGTCATCTCTTTTACATCTATTATAAACTCCACCATATGTTATTATCATTAATGCTTTAAACAGTTGGCTGTTGTCTTTGAAAAATTTTAAAAAAGGAAAGAAAAATAGTGTGTTATAATTACCCACATGCTTACTATTTTTGGGTTCTTCATTCCTTTCTACAAATCTGAATTTGCATCTAGTATCATTTCCCTTTAATCCAGAGAACTTTCTTTAGCATTTCTTATAGTTTTGGCTTGGTGGTAGTGTATTCTCTTAGGATCCATTTATCTGAAAATATATTTATTTTGCCTTAAATTTTAAGGTTATTTTTGTGGGTTATAGATAGCCAAAGCAGTCTTGAGAAAGAAGAACACAGCTGGAGGCATTACTATCCTTGATTTCAAACTCTGTTATAAAGTGGTAGTAATCGAAACAGTATTGTATTGGTATGAAAACAGACACATAGATTAATGGAACAGAATAGAGAGCCCCTAAATAAGCCCATGTGTATATGGTCACTTAATTTTCGATAGAGGAGCAAAGAATACAAAGAATTTACGATACAAGAAAGGATAGTCTCTTCAATAAGTGGTGTTAGGAAAATTGGATAGCCATATGTGAAAGAATGGAACAAACCTGTATCTCACATCATACACAAAAGTCAACTCAAAATGGATTAAAGACTTGGACGTAAGACCTGAAACCATTAAATTCTTAGAAAACATATGGGTTATCTCCTTTACATTGATCCCGACAATGATTTTTTAAAATTTGATACCAAAAGCAAAGACAGCAAAAGCAAAAATAAACAAGTGGGACTACATCAAACTAAAATGCTTCTGCTTGGCAAAGGAAACCATCGACAAAATGAAAAGGCAGCCTATGGAATGGGAGTAAATATTTCCCTACAATCTATCTGGTAAGGTGATAATATGCAAAATATACAAGGAACTCATGCTACTAAATAGCAAAAAATCCCCAAATAGCCCAGTTAAAAAGTGAGTAAAGGACCTGAATAGACATTTTTCCAAAGACATAAAGGTGGCCAATAGGTACATGAAAAGATGCTCAATATTACTAATCATCAGGGAAATGTAAATCAAGACTACAATGAAATATTACCTCACACTTGTTAGGATAACTCTCATCCAAAAGACAAGAGATAACAAATAATGGAGAGATGTGGAGAAAAGGGAACCCTTGTATGTTGTTGGTGGCTATGTAAACTGGTACAGCCACTATAGAAACAGTGTGGAAGTTCCTCAAGAAATAGCAAGTAGACCTCTTATATGATCTGGCAATCCCAATTCTGAGTATATATCCAATGGAAGCTTAACCATTATCCTAAAGAGTTATCTGTATTCCCACCTTCATTGCAGCTTTATTCACAACAGCCAAGGTCTGGAAGCAACCTAAGTATTTGTCAGCACATGAATGCATCAAGAAAATATGGTGTATATGTATGTGTGTGTATACATACACACACAGGAATATTATTCAGCCTTAAAAATGGAATACCTGTTATTTGTGACAATGTGGTCAGCCTGGAGGGTATTATGCTAAGTGAAATAAGCTAGACAGCACCACAAATGCTGCATGATATCACTTGTATGTGGAATCTTACCAAAAAAAGAAGTCTGACTCTAAGAAACTGTAGAAAAGTGCTTGCCAGGGTCTGGGGATTGGGCAAAATAGGGAGAGACTGGTTAAAGGGTACAGATTTTTGGTAATAAGATAAATAAGGTCTGAGGAGCTAATGTATAACATGATAACTATAATTGCTAACACTGTATTGTATAATTGAAATTTTCTAAGGGAATAAGACTTAAATGTCCACCTTCTCCCTCCACCCCCCACCTCTCCCCAAAAAAAGGTAAATACATGATGTAATGCATATGTTAATTAACTCAATGGAGGAAAATCCTTTCACAATGTATACATGTATTAAACCATCATGTTGTGTACTTTAAATATTTTACAATTTCATTTGTCAATTATATCTCTGTATAGCAGGAAAAAATTTTTTTTCAAACAAAGACTATGACTTGAAAACTTAGGGCCTCACTGAGAGATCTACTAAAAGATATATTTCAGCAGGAAAAAGTGGGTCCAGAAGGAAGACAATAGAAGTCAAAATAATGGTGAGCACAAATTGATGATATTCTAGCAGATTTGCTCTTTAATGGCTAAGAATTCATTTTAGATGACTTTTATAATCAAGTAACAAAGTGTAATACAGTAAGAGAACTATTTTTTAAATTTTGTATGTTTGAACAAATTAAAATTATTTAAATTTGCATATCCATTTGCAGATGAACTTTGAAAATCTTAGTTTTGTTAGCAATTGCCAGTTTTTTGTTTTATTTTGTTTTTATATGCTGATAGTTGCATGTTATTTGAATAACTATTAACTCAGGTATTTTCTCTAATAGATTCAAATCCTTATAGTTGAATATAGAACTAAATTTCACGTTGCAATTAACTTAATAATCAGTTTTTCTTTTCTTTAATATGTGTACTTAAAACAGTACTTAGCACATAGTAAATACTGTATGAGTGTTTGCTGCATTCCCATCCTCTCCCTTCATATAGCTCTGCTTATGATTTAAATAATTACATCTATGGGAAAGGTTGTCAGATTTTCAGGTCTTCCGAATACCCATCTCATGTTTTAGCTGCCAGCTAAATTTTGGTGTAATTGCCCTACTTACATTTCTAAGTGAAAGTGTGTAAAACAGTAGTCCTTATTCTCCTTACTTTCCAATGTTAAGGGGCAAAGTCCTTTTCATTTCCTTATTTCCATTAATGGTATTATGGACTCTCAAGTTTGAAATCCTCATTGTCTTTCAGTCCTGGATTCTTCTGTATTCAGTTGGTTACCAGGTTGCATCAAGTCTTGCTCTTAGATTATCTCTCATCATTCATCTGTTGCTGTTTCAGTTCAGAATCTCACTACTGCCTCGACTATTGCAGTAGCTTTGTAACCATTCTTCACTTCATCTTTCTAATTCATCATTGACTGTGGGATGAAGTTTAACTCCTTCAGTCTGATGTTCAGAGCTTCCTTCGTTTTGTACAATATCGGGTAGGATTGCATTTATTTGCAAGTAACAAGATGTCTAGTGATAGATAGATTATTCTTGACATTCATTCATCTGCTTAAAGTTGCCAGGTCATTTATTCTCTTGGCCTTTCCTTCATGGTTGCCTCATGGTTTTAAGGTGACTGCTCTACCCTATATTCATGATCAGATTCAGGTAGGAAGAAGTTGAAGGGGAAAAAGCAAAAGGAGGCATGCCAGCTAAGTCATCCTCTATTTAAGGAGTGAATGATCCTGAAAATATCACCCAACAACTTTCACTTAAATCTCATTTGCTGAAACTAGTTCACATGGCTATCCATCTGTGGGCAAGGACAGTTTTTTGGGGTACATTGATATCTCCAACAAAATTGGGTTTCTGTATCAAGGAAAAAAGGGAAAAATGCCTACTGGCTATGTAGTTGCAATTTTGCTAGAAGTATCCATCTGAATTTTTAATCCTTTCCTAAATGGTATAAATTCTCAAATACTTCACTTAGCCCAATAAATTACTGAACATGTCTTATGCCTTTCTAGTCTTTAGCACAGTTCCACTCTCCCAGAATGTCCTTCTTTCATCCATCTAAATCTGTTACCAAAACCAAAGTGAGTTCACCTCCTGGCGGGTAAAATCAGACTCTCCACCAGAAGTAGTTATCTCACAAAGTAAAGTATATTTGCGGCAAATAGGAGACCATGAGGAATCATTTCCAAAGTCATGGCATCACCGAACAAAGGGAAGTAGGCATCTTTTATTTCGGATGGGGAATGAATATTCAAAAGGGAGAGGTGGGTATTCTCTTGCACAGGCTCAGTTGGAAAACATGTTTCCACATACACTGCAGGTTATGGTAAAAAGGCTCTAGCTCCTCCTGGAGAGGAGATCTTAGCATTAAAAATAAGGTAAAAGTCATAGGCGTGTCTCATAGCTCTTGTGGTGAGGCTTGGTCTGGTTCAGGGTGGTTGGTGCTTGCATCTCCTTAACGTGACAAAAGGGGAAAAGCAGTTAAATGCTTCCAGACCCACCCTTGAGTACCTCGGGGCAACTAGTGACAAATCCAATCCATTGTTTAAGATCAGTTTTAAATATGACTTCCTCTAATAAAACTGATCAGTTAATCCTAGCTTGAAATGTTATTTTTTCCTCTCCGGATACCAATAAGCAATTGTCAGAGTAATTTCATTTGTTGAGAAATCATGTCTACTCATGGGATCTCTTCTTTTGTTGTCTGTAACTGATATTGTTTGTTTTGTTAGTGTCACATTTATATCATAGTTCTTTACGATATAAACTTAAGTTTTATTGTCCTTATTTACAGGAAGTTTGTAACCTTGATATCTCTCTCTGTGCTTTGTATATAGTAGTAGATAATATTTAATTGGTTAATAGATTTGACAGAGTCACTGCTGTCAGTGAAGACTTCTTTGTATGTGAAGGATACCTTATCAATATCACTTTCATTTGTTACTTTGTTTTCTCTTACAGACCAATGTTCTGAGAAAGACTGCATGGGAATGGCTTGCCTTACAATGGCAGAAATGGAAGGAACATCTGTGTCTGTGCATCAGAATGGTGATATTCCTGGAAATGCTAATTCTGTAAAGCAAGTAGATCCAGTCCTACAGGTGTATCTTTATCATTCCCTTGAGAAAGCTGAAGGAGATTACCTGAAGTTTCCAACTGGGGAGTATGTTGCGGAAGAAATTTGTGTTGCTGCTTCTAAAGCTTGCGGTAAGTATTAAAAAACAGTATATTTTTCTTATTAATAGATCGTTGCTTTAATTATTACTACTCTAATACAACGTACATGTATACTGCTTTATTTTTGGTTCTTTTTATGCTTATATGGCTGGCAGGTATGTTGTCACATGCATATAAAATAAGAACATTACTAGAGTAGAATTTAAGGTAAATGTGCTTTGGGCTAGTGCGATAGACTGTTAGTGTTCCCCCCAAATTCATGTTAAATCCTATTCCTCCAGCATGATGGTATTTGGAAGTGGGGCCTTCGGGAGGTGATTAGGTCATGAGGGTGGATCCCTCATCAATGGGTTTAATACCTTTATAAAAGAGACCTGAGAGAGCTCCTTTGCCCCTTCTCCCGTCTGAGGACATAGGAAGAAGAAGAATCAGAAACTCAACCATCTATGAACCAGGAATTGGGTCCTCAATAACACCAAATCTGCTGGCACCTTGATTTTTACGCTTCCCAGCCTTCAGAATTGTGAGAAATAAATTTCTGTTTATAAGCCACGTAGTCTATGGTATTTTTGTTACAGCATTCCGAGTGGACTAAAACAAAAACTGATACTGAAGTGCGGGAGCTGTTGTAACAAATTCCTAAAAATGTGGAAGTGGCTTTGGAATTGGGTAATGGAAGAGTTTTGAGGTACATGCTAGAAAAAGCCTACATTGTTGTGAATGGAGCTTTAAAGGCGATTTTGGTGAGGACTCAGAAAGGAAAGAGGAGAGTGAAGAGAAAGCCTCGATTTTCCTAGAGACTACTAATTAATCTTGAACAGAATGTTGGTAGAAATATGTATGATAAAGGCCATTCTGCTGTGGTCTCAGATGGAAATGAGGAACATGCTATTGGAAACTGGAGGAAGAGTGGTCCTTGTTGTAAAGTGGCAAAGAACTTGCCTGAATTGTGGTTTAGTGTTTTGTGGAAGGTAGAACTTGAGAGCAATAAAATTGGATATTTACTTGAAGTAATTTCTAAGCAAAGTGTTAAAGGTGTAGCTTGACTCTTCCTGACTGCTTATAGTAAAATCTGAAAAGAGAGAAAATAAAGTCAGAATTGTTAAACAAAAGGAAGCAGAACTTAAAGATTTGGAAAATCCCTGCTTATCCATGTTGTGAAAAATGAGAAAGCCTGGTTGGAGGAGAGTGCTAAGGTTGTGGCCAAGCAACCATTTGAAAAGATTAGTATGGATCGGATATCTCAACAGAAACCAGGAGCTATTCCCTAAGAGAATGGACGAATGACCCTGAAGGCAATTCAGAAATCATTAGGGCTGCCCCTGTGCAGTGTCCCTGGGATCCAACTGATTTCAGAGGAGGAGCTGCCAGCCTTGGAGACCTTGCACTTGCTGCTGAGTGCTGGTGCATTGTGGGTGCTGAGCTTCTTGGCTGTCCCAAGTGTGGCTCTGGCAGTCCCCGGTACAGAAGGTGCGCCTCTGGAGAGTGCAGGCAAACTTTGATGGAGTAAGCCATCTCCAGTAGTGGAAATTGCACAGGCCCAGAGGGCATGCCTGCCTCCACCTAGATTTCAAAGGACAGGAGCTACCCAAGTCTGTAGGGGCAGGGCTGCCAGGAGCATTGGGGGCCTAACCTCCGCCTGGCAAAGCTGCAGGGGCAGGAATGCTGCGCTAGTGTGTCTTGTAAGCCAGACCTCTGTGCCAGGGAGCCTGGAGGGCAGAATGGAAATGTCTGTCCTATGCCTGTCCCACCATGTATTTTGGAAGTGCATAACTTGTTTGATTTCCCAGGCTCGCAGCTGGAGAGCGGTTTGCCTCAGGATGAATCATACCTTGAGTCTCACCCAAACATGATTTACATGCTATTTACGTTAGCCTTTGAACTCAGAGTTTTGAGTTGATGCTGGAATGAGTTAAGACTTTTGGGGCTCTTGGGATGGAATGAATATATTTTGAATGTGAAAAGGCCATTAATTTGGAGGGACCTAGGGCAGAATACTATAGACTGAGTATTTGTGCCCCTCTCTCCCAAATACATTGAAACCTCCTATTCCCCCAATGTCATTGGCAGTGGGGCCTATGGAAGGTGATTAAGTCATAAGCTTAAGGTGTCCCCTTAGCTCAGTTGCTTTTTCACCGCTGTGTGGCTTAGTTATAGAACTTGTCTCTTTGGATTATGAATATTTGTGTCTCGTTTTTAAGATATAGTCAGTTATGTTATAATGTGACATACATGTTCCTAAAATGCACTATGCTCTACAAAACTCTGCAGTAAAAGCCACGGGACTTACAGGAAAAATGGGGTTAGGGGCACCACACTAAAAAACTTTGTGACATTAAAATAAATAAATAACTAAAACAAGAAAAACAGAACATGTTAAATGGTAAAGAAATATACAAATGCTGCAATAAATTTGTCACTTTACCTAAAAAAATCATGTGTCCTTCTAGAAGTGGATGTTAGAAAGGTTGTAGTTTATGAATTATTGTGAAGTGATAGAAGGAAAGTTATCTGAAATCAGATGGGAAGTTGTGATACCACATACAGATGAGCTGTGGCTCATGACAGACATCGTAAACTGAGGTGGCTGAAAGATGTTTGCTCCATGTATGTTCTCAGTTTGGATTCCAGGGTGAATGAGTACCCCTTTTCTGAGACATGATATTCTCCTGGTGGAAGGCAGGAAAACATGAGGGCTGCTGGAAGCTTGAAATATTTCTTAATGCCTCTGCTTGGAACCAACACACTTTCACTTGTGCTTAGATTCCATTGGCCAAACCGAGTCAAATGACCAAGCCAATGTCAGTCATATGGGGTGGTCCTCTCGGGGATGGAGAGAAGAGTGAATATTTGCCAAACAATAATGTAGTCTACTACAGTTTGCCCTCTTGGTCACAAATATTAATTTTCTTTTGTTCAGTATTCAAAACAAACTTTCTCCTCCCCCAAGGAGGATACCCAAAGGTGTCATCCAGTTATAGCATCAGGCTCAAAATCCAGGCTCTCCTCATATTCTCTGTATCGTGTCCAGGTGTTATTCTGCTTGATCCAGAAATCTGTGAACTGAGAAACAGTTATTCTGCTGTATCTTAAACCTTGACAAGTTATATGTCAAATATAGGATATGAGATAATTTTCCATAGCATAGAGACAACAAAATCTAGACAAATTAACTATGTAGAGTTATCTTTTGGAATCCTCCCTCCTCTCTCTGAGCCCTTTGCCAGTTACTCTTCCTTGACTGTTCTGCTCAGGTACCTACTATCTTCATATATACCTTTCCCTTCCCACCCCCAAATACCCTTCATATCTAATTGTAATCACAACTTATATTAATGACTATTTAAGTATGGCTTTGATTGATAAAATAATTTACAATAAGTTATAAAAGACATATAGTTTTAGTATTGATATATTTGTATTTAATGAAGTATCTTGATTATAGTAACTTCTAACTGTAAAAATCTTTAGGGGAGATTTTTTTTTTTTTAATGGTCTTTATTCTTTTCTCAATCTCCAAAGAGTAGACTATGAAGTTAATTTTACAGCTGCACACCCCTCACCTCTGGAGGAAATTAGAAACGTTTTTCTGCTAGCTAAAATTTATTGACACTGTGTTAAGTGCTTTATGTGCGTTATTCAGTGCTTAACAATAACACTAGGGTGTGTAGGTATTGTAGTGTGAGTGCCTGATAATTAGCTTTTTTGATTGTAGTATAAGGGCCTGATGTTAAGCTTTTGATTGCCAGGTATCCGCTTCAAAGGCTTCCATCTGGAATAAACACATTGCCAGCTACACGACTAGATAAAGAGCCAGTCCACTCCACCCATGAAGTTCCTTTTTTCTGAGAGGTCTGGTTAACTAAGATAACTGACCATTTGACCACTTCCTTTTCCCTGTTTGTGCTTTAATTCCTGCTCTTATGTTTTAAGTTTACCAATGAAGAGTGAACCTGTGAAACCCCTGGCACCCCCACATTAACCTCAATAAAGACAGAATCCCACATCTGTGCTCACTCTCTCTGCCCGCAACCTTGCTGTGTGGCCCCAGGTGTGCTGTGTATGTCTGGATTTGTGAGTAATAAACCTTATTTTTTTTCAAAGTTCTCTGATGGTTGTTGCTGAAGTGTATCTTGCAGTCATAATAACCACAAAGGCTTATCCAGCCACAACATTGACTCCGAAATGGGAAATGTTTGTGGGGGCTTGCCTCAGGCCCAGGTGAGTGCCCGCAGGCGCTTCTGGCCAATAGCAATAGGCTGAGACCAGCACAATACAAGGTGCTACTGTTATCTTTCTTCTAAAGATAAGGAAATTGCCCAAATTATTCTTTATTTGTTAACCTGGCCTTAGAATTCCTTTGGTGGTTTTGGAATAGAGTTCTCAGGGCCCTAATCTTTAACATGGAAAATTGTTGATAGTTCAGGCATTCATTCAGCCAAGCCAACACCCAGTGGAACCATATAACCCTGAATCACTTGACCAATGAATAAATGGGTTGGCTCTGTTGTGGAAAGAGAGGTAAATAAGCGAATAATGAAAGGGTGTTGGAAGGGAATAATAAAATGGTGTTGGAAACCATTGTCAGCTCTATTGTGATGTGAGGAAAATAACCAAGATCTCATTGGGGTGGGATTGTTTGTAAAACCTGCTTATCTAGGGTTAAAACCAGCATTTCTAATATTTGGAAAAACTTTTAAAGAGATTAAAAAATGTGTTTTATATTTATCTACATATTTACTATTTTCAGCAATCTTTATTCCTTTGTGTGAATTCAGATGTCAATTTAGTGTTATTCTTTTGCTTGAAGAACTACTTTCAATATTTTTTTGTAGTGCGGGTCTGCTGGCTATAAATTATCTCACCTTTTGTTTGATTAAAAAGTCTTTATTTTACCATTAATTTTAAAGACATTTTAGCTGAGTATAGAATTTTATGTATACAATGTTTTCTTTGAGTACTTCTTTCACCATTTCCAGCTTGAATTGTTTCTGATGAGAAATAAGCTGTTGTTCTTTGTTTCTTTGTAT